CCTTTCCATCTTAATGATTGGGATGCCCAAAAATAAAAAATAAAAAAAAATTCTGGTTCGTTTTTGTTCAGGTTTGACAAGTTTATCTCCATCTATGATTGAACATCACTTAGACAGTACTACCAGAGCCCAAATACAAGCTAGCTATCTGCAAAGCAATGAAAGTCGATGCTGTACTTTTTAAAAATGGGTTCCAAAAAAAGAAATGTATAATGAAAAATAAAATGGGACCTAATACAGAACCTTAAGGTACCCCAAGTGGTTACATAGATGATAAATACTGACCTAAGTGGACAGAGAAACTCCGGACTGACAAATAGTTATTTAAGACAGCAGTCACCAACCTTTACTGCGCCACGGACCGGTTTAATATCAGACAATATTTTCACAGATCGGCCTTTAAGGTATTGCGGATAAATACACCAAATAAAATGACACAAAAGTGGGGTTTTTTGTAAATATAATAATAAATGTGTATTCACTGTGTAATTGTGTAACTTCATTAGCAGCGTCCTCCTGAAATGGGCCAACAACATTGAGAGTAACGTCCTCCTCTCTGCCCCTTAATGCTCTCTGGTCGCTATGGTAACGTGTAAATACACACAACTACAACACGGGAAAAGATCCGGGGAAACCGAGTTATCGATAAAAACCCTGAAAACCCTAAATTTCACACCCGAGCCTCAACTCTCGCGGCCCGGTATCAAACAACTCCAAACGACCGCTGATTTAAGACATACATTTTATTGTAATGTATTGTATAAAACATTGTAAAACCACATGTAATGGAAAGGTTTTAAGGAAGATTGCTGTGATACAATAAGAGTACCACAATAAGTCTGTAATCATTGTACTGAATGTCCTGCTCTTTAACAAAAAAATATCTTTATCTCAAACAGTGCAGGAACTGTGACTACCAACAAGAGGCAGACAACAGCTGTATCTACGTCAATAAAATCACCCATGAGGTTGAGTAAGTAACCACAATACAACATAAATTAGCAAAAGTTTTATTTCCTCAATTTGAATAATTCGTCATTTTTCATTGCAGACTGAGTCACACATTAAAGTGGGCAATAACTTCCTATTCAATCACTGCAGCACTTCTGAAAGCAACCAAAATGGTTATGACATCTAGGGTTAAATGCGCTGTGTAGACCCATTCAGCCACACAGATTTGATTGATTTTTCCAAATATGTACAAAAGATTTTCTGTGTACAATTTCAGACAGTACAAAGCAGTGTTTTTATGTGTACTCACACATACTGAATGGCTAATCTTTAGGAAAAAACATTAGCATTTTTTGCATGTGGTCTTCCTTTTGTAGTGCGCACAGTACTAGAATTTTAGATTGCATTCATAGGTCATGTCAGTCGATGAGCTCTAAACCTCATGCTTCCATTTTTTTTTTTCCAGTGAACTCACACAAATCATCGCTGATGTATCTCAGGACCCAACACTGCCAAGAACAGAAGACCACCCCTGCCCTAAGTAAGTTTTACCATACCTACTGACCTCCCTCAGCGCCCATGCTTCACCTCCTGTTGATGTTTTTAAGGGTATTTTGGTTCATTATCCATTTCCGTTCTGAAGTGCTGTCCAATCAGTTTTTCAGGATTCAGCTGAATCTGAGCAGAGACTATAGCCTTGTTTGCTTAATCAATAAATTGCAGTGATCCAGTTCCACTAGCAGCTATACATGCCCATGCCATAACACTGCCTCCACCGTATTTGACAAATAATGTGATATACTTCAAGTCATGAGCTACTACTTTTCTCTTCCCATCATTCTGGTACAAATTCATTTTGGTTTCATGTGTCCAGATATTTTTTGCCCTGATGTGAGTGGGCTCTTTTAGAGCGTGTGGCAAAATCTAATCTGGCTTTTTGCTTCTTGAGTGCAATCAGTGGTTTAGACCATTTTGTGAAACCTCTGTATTTACATTCATGATAATAATCTCATGATCTTCCACTTTAGTTCTGACTGTATAATTGACCACCTGGCTGCAAAAATGCTTATCCAATTTTGGAGTGATTTATGTTTTGTTGTTGTTTTGGTTTTTTTAAAGGTCTGTAATTCCTAAGTGCTTCTACTGCAAAATATTTATTAAAAGGCATCATTGATTTGCAAAACTGCATTGTTACCCATACACTTTCTAAGTAGTAAGTGAAATGTGTAGTTCTAAAAATAAGTGTAGAGTCAATAATTACTGACACAGCATACTTGCTTATTTAAGCAGCAGAGCGTTGTTTAATCTGCATGTATTGTAACTTATTGGTGCACATAGTCACCAATCAGTGAGACTAACTGAGTGTATGGTCATGCAAAACGGATGGAGCGTAGATTACATCACTGGGGTCTCAGCGTAAAAGCATTATATTTAACCGCATCCCTGCTCTCGTGTGTCTACATTTTATAATTACTTTATGTCTCCTTGAGGCACACTAACATACTGTATATCAAGTAATTATTTAGACGGTCACAGTAGACGGAGGAAATCTGGATAAAGGTTCAGCCTGCCCTGAAATAAACTGTTGGTGGTCATTGTAGGTTTCCACAAGCCATTTCAACTTTAATAGACTGTGGAATGAGATGTTGTGGCTCTGATGGTGGTAACACTTTTATAACGTTTTTCTTTCACCATTTCTCTTCTCAGATGTGGTCACAAGGAGGCAGTGTTCTTCCAGTCTCACAGTATGAAGGCTGAGGTAATTGCAACCTTTGCTTTCTCTAGATCTGCACAAGCTACAATTGCCCTGCTAATACATTCTTCTTAGCCCCTGCTTTTCAGGAGGCACCACATTCCAATCCAAAATATATATTTGAGAGAGGTATTTGTTAAAAAAAATGAAAGATGAGTTACATTCCCTACACAGATCATTTGTTTTGACTGACACATTTTTTTGTGTTGCCCCACACAGGATGCTATGCGACTGTACTACGTGTGCACGGCGCCTCACTGTGGACACCGGTGGACAGAGTGAAGCCTTCTGATAATAAAGAGGTCTAGCACTTGCTTCTATGCTATTGCTGTCAGCACTCGTACAGTATCAATCTGGGTCTGTGTCTACAGTGAATGCATTTGGCTTTATAAAATAGCAGCATTGCTGACCCCTCTGTTATTGTTGTATGGACACTCATATCTGTCACCATGTTGTGAATATAATGTCATCAGTTTTGCTGTTGTGCTTTTTTTAGCGCTTGTCATTTTCAAATGTGTATTGTTAGATTAAAACATGTTTTCAAATATCTCTTGAGTCTTAATAATTGTGAAACTCTTCATGCACTCCATCTCTGAGTACATTTTGAGAATATTTTGTATAATAATAGTTATTTTGTTACATAATTAAGGTTATATCAAGACTAAGTAACACATAAATGTAAAACCAGGATACAACAGTTAATATAAAAGAGTCATTAGAGGATTGTTTGTTTTTAATGAATTATTCCTGATTTGGTCTGAGTCACTCAATCAGTATTTCTGGGGTTTTTAAGAATAGCAAGAATCAGTGATCAGATAATGCTCCTAAATATTTTTAACTATAGGCCGGGAAACCTTGCCAACTCACGCACACAAGCTCACCTTCAAATCAAACCAACTGACTTCCAAGTAGAGAAGTCGGTATAGATATTCACTTCCTGTTTCCAGCCTAGACTGTTAATGATTAGTGGGAGTTAAAACCATGAAACACAAGACTGGTTGTGTGTTTTCCTTTGAGTCACATTCTCTTTGTGACACAGCTAAAAAATTTAGACCACAAATCACATGTAACCAGTGCACATCCCCAATATTCACAAAATGTCTTGAGACTGTAGCTGACTCATTCGCTTAATGCTGAACATATTCGCAGCAGGGATGAGCCAAATAAATGTACAGTCGGCAA